TTGCACCAACATATCCTCCTTGGCTTTTACAGTAATCCCAAGGGTATATGAATAATAACAATTCAAAAAGCTCATCTTTGGACGATTTGAGTAGTTTAAAGTATGATGAAGAAATAGATTGAAAAACAATAATAAGGAGAAAAAAGAACATCAAAGACTTCAAAGCCATGAGAGTGATTATAGGTGAGAAATAATTATGGGTTGCTTGGTTATATAGAAGTAACGAATAATTATAGGTGACCATGATGATCTCAGGGCTGTTTGAGGGTTATTTCCAATTTTCACCCCCAAATGTCATCCTTCAAAATAAAGAACAAACCAAACTAGAAGTGATCAAACCAAAATAGAGAACAACCTTCAGCAACAGCAGAGCAAATGATCACATGCCCCAAACTATTAGACCATCACAGTAGTAGTAGTAGTAGAGCAAAGGTTCTTTTGTTTGGACAGTAAAAACTTAAGGTTGATTACTTCTATTTGCGTGTATCCTTATATCTACTCTTGAAATTTAACTTGAGAAGACATATTGCATATGATGCTATGTTTGATCTATTGTTTGTTCTGTTGCAACAAATAATTTATAATTAGATCAAACACCAAAAACTTACAATAGAAACGGTACTCATAAACTCTTTAACATACTTCCAATTGCAAGGTGGTGATTTCCCTCTTAATACCTAAAACAAGATAAAAGTCCAACTAGTGTCAACCAATGCTTGGCATTAAACCGTAAAATTGCCTGTTCAAATCCATCTTCTTAGAAAATATAATGGCAAAGCATGTAAGTCTAGGCAAGTAATATATCAGTTTACAGTTCCTATACTATGCAGTCACTCAAATTCTTATGCATTAATTTGTGCTACTCAACCTTCTTTTAGTCACTAAAAGAAGTTGAGTAACTTGTCTGACTAGGCAACCAAAAGGAAGTTTCAACATTTTCATACTAGTTTCAAAACTATTAAGATAAAGAGTGGCCCATTTTCCCTAAGAACATGCAGCCTTTTGTTTCTTCATATTTCTCAATATCAAGTAATCTTCCCAGGTTACTAAACTCAACATTTTCAGTCATTCTAATCATTCCATCTATAAACAAACTTTAATCTTTGAAAATGAATGAGACATAGGATTGAAGACAAATATTAGCTAAACTAGATCAGATGAAGATGTTGTCAGAAAGGATGAAGATCAGTTTCATGAAGAAGCCTACAAATCCCATCACCACCAATTCAATCGCTGTATGGACAACCTTCGTGAATTCTACAAAAAAATAATAAAAATATATATATAAAAAAAATAACAACAAAAAACAAGTTAGATTAGATTAAACCATATATTTTTTTAACAAACAAGTGTAGAGCAATAACATCAAGCTGAGGTTGCAAAACTTAGGAATTTCTGAGAACCAGCCTTAAGATTCTCAAAGGTTTAGAAAGACATAGAAAAATGGACACTTGATAAACTATATACCACATTGATCTATGGATCAACAAACCTTTTTGAAATGAAAAATAAAAACCTTCATAAAATCTAAAACTAATCTATTTGTATGCATCAGTATGACCATTATACGGTTGTAGACAACAGCAAGGTCTAAATTAAGATAACAGAGAATGCATAAAAAAAAACACTCAATTAGATCCATATGTTCATGTACTCATATTCATATTCACAACCACAACTATATATAATAAAAAGAAAAACTAAAAACAAAACAAAATGTCAATATATATATTTTTTCAATTATTAAGCCATCCTTTTGCATATTGTTCCTTGTCTCAAGCAAGTCAAAAAAACACTATGAGAGACTATTCATACCAAAACAAAAGCCTTCTGACGAGTCCTCCAAAATGCCTGCCAAGTGCCAATAGTTAACATAACCAATGACATAGAATGAATTATGCTAGTACCTACAAATTGGAAAATCAAACCCATAACAAAGGACAAAAATGATGTTCTAAACCTACCATTTAAAAATAACAAGAATAAATATGATGAAGAAAAAGAAGAAGACAAGAAAAATTAATATTATCTAAACAAAACTCACATATATGATGGAATAAGGAAAACACTAGCATTCTTGGAGCACATATTGACTAGGAGCTTTATCTTGTCACTGAGAAAAAAAGGGAATGAAACAGTAAATTCATTCTTGAGAAGTGGCATGGAACAGGGGTTAAGATTCCAACTAGCTTATTTTGGCTCTTAAAGGATCCTCGTCCAGCTCAACAAATTTTGTGTCAAATTATAATCCAAAATCACTTTTCTTCATCTTTTTTTATTTTTTGTATTCTTGGACAACTCCATAGATAGCTCAATTTATTTCATTTGTTTATTTCTTTTCCCATCCAAATTGTATAGAAAAGAGATATCAAGAATAATGGGATAAGGAGAACTGCATGCAGCATGTATAATTTTTATTTGAGATGAAAGCCATCAAATACATGAAAGTATTAACATGCTCAAAAATTTAATCAGATCAATTAATCCACAACATAAAAGCTAAATAGAAATCATTAATAACGATGAAACACAAAAGCCATTAATCAAGTCAAATAGAAGCTGTAGGAGAGGGTTCAAGAAAGGAGTTGGAAAATTCGAAGATCTTCAAAGATCCTTGAAGAACAACTTCGAATTCTCTAGAATATGATGAGAGGCTTAGATTCTTCAATAATCTCAACTTAGGAACACAACAACAAAGGAGATGATGGAGATAAGAGATTGGGTGAAGAAGAAGGCAAAATGGCTAGAGAATAGAATAATGGCAAGGCTCTCCCATTGATCTCCCACTTTCACTCTCAAGGTTGATAATGGAGAAAGGGAAATTAGTTCTTTCCCAAGAATTCAAAAATCTCCAAAATCCCTCCCTTGTAAAGCTATGGGTGGGTGCTATTTATAGGCACCTCATGATGTAGGATGGAGCCCATGTGCAAGGCACATGGGGGATATTCTCTCTAACCACCTTGTCCGAGGTAGAATAGCTCCCAACAGAAAAGAAATAAGCTCACAAGCTACGGAATAAAGCCCTACGCTATTACCTAGATCCCTAGGGAAAGCTTTACAAAAAATCTCTCTCATGGTCATATTTGGAATGTGTTCACCTAGATAGACTTGCAGGCTTCTTAGCTGAAATACAAGAAGGTAGATGCGGTGCCCACTCTGGAGGGCGCTCATTGGCCCACCGGGTATAGGCTAGTTTAACCGAAGAGTGAATTTATCTCCACTCACCGTCGTCGGGATCGGGTCCTTTGTTCGAACTCCATTACGCCCATGGTTCTGGTGCGTAGATCCCGGAAAGCTCCGAGCCCGCAAGTGTTCTGGGACTCATTAACGGAGCGACTTCTAGATTGCGTCTGAATCCGTTCGAAGCCAAGTACTTCGGATCTCTAGATTCGTGGGTCTGAATCCTTTCGATTCCGAGTGCCTCGGATCTCTAGGCTTGCTTAATACCCTTTCGAGTCCGGACCCGGGTAAGTCTCTAGGTTCGTGGACCCGAACCCTTTCGAGGCTTACAGCGATTCAATCCGTTTGATGGCAATAAATCTGGGCCCACCGATTCTTGGACTTGCGATAAATTCGGGCCCACTAATCTTGGGCTATTGGGCCTAAATAATTTAGTGGGCTCAAATTAGCCCCTCTTACAGAAGCTAAATCTTTTCACTTTTCCCTTCCTTTTTATACTTACATATAGAAGATAATCACATGTTTTCTAGGACAAAGTTAATCCACTCCACACGCATCGAGTACGAATTCCATGTAAATCGTCTTCCCATTGAACTACAAGAGGCCATTAAGAACCAACGACTAAATGAAAGGTAATTCATAAATAATTAGTAAACAACTATTAGAATTGATCTTATATTTGTTTTGGTTAGGATGCTTTGATCTCGAATAAGGTCTTTCATGTACCTCATTATACAAAATCCACATTCCACGCGTGTCGGTAGTTGTGGGCACTACATACAAATAATGTGATTTTTATTAGAAAACTACATATAACAATTATACTCAAGATGAATCATCATCATTACTTTAACAACTTTCCAAGTTGGCTTTATATTCATCCCTTTAGTTGTTCCATAAATCCGTAGACTACTTTATAAAGAGAACAAAGTGTTGGACAATCTTCACTGTATTTAAATAAATAAATTATGTTTGTGTACTAAACTACAAACAAAATACAAAAGAAAAATAGGAAAGGAGAGAGAATGTTTGATTATAAAAATCAAACTAGAAATAAAATTAAATAAATAAAAACAAATTTTATTTTTGTTACAAAAACAAAATCAAAATTTGATATAAATAAATAAAACCGAAAATAAATTAACAACTTACTTGATTAATTTCTTGAACAATCACTACAACAAAAATAGTCTTTAGAGACGAAAACTAATGACGAAAAAATTTTTTGTCACGAAATACGTATCTTTTAATGACGAAAATAATATTTCGTCTCCAAATGTACCATTTTTAGAGACAAAAATAAAATTTCGTCACCAATCTAAACCATAATAAAAAAATTAGGTGACGAAATTATTTTTCGTCATTATTTATATTTTTTTTGCCACCAAAGATTTTCCCGCTAATTTTTTCGAAGGGTGCCAAAATTTTGAGATTTTTGGTGACGAAAAAATTGGTCACCAATTATAAAATTATTAATGACGAATATATTTTTGTCACCAATAATTTTTAATATTTTAATATCATTTAGTGACAAAACTATTTTTGTAACCAATATTTTTATCTTTGGTGAAGAAATAATTTTGTCACCAATAAATAATTTAATCGTTAAATATTTTAGGGGGGAAATAACAATGTTTTGGCGCAATTGGTTCTTCTTCTTCTCAAACACACACAATAATTTCTCCATCAAACCTGATTTCTCACACACACACACCTTATACTCATTCACACACAGAGTTCCCTCACCGCCGCTGCTACCATTTCATCGACTCACCGCCGACAGCCTTTTCTCACCGCCGCTGTTGTACCGATCGGAGAACCACCACCGCTGTTAGTCTCTCTCTCTCTCTCTCTCTCGATGCTCCCTCTGTCTAATATTTTTTTTGTCTGATGTATATGCTCTGTATACATATAAAATATATATATATATAACTTCAGCAGCCAATTTCACCACTTCTCAATTTTTTCTTTTTCAGTTGATCCCCACATTTCATTCCTCAGTTTCCCTCTCACTAGTTGCAGATTTTTTTACATATAAAATATATATATATATACAACCTGTGATTTTTCTATTGTTGCTTCTTTTGCCATACAACTATTCTTCAATCTCACTCAGCCTTTTGACTTCAATTTCAATCCCATCTGCCGCATATATATAGGCTGCATATTTTAGGCCTTTTGACAGTGGCAGTTCATTACATGTATTAGAGGCCATGCCTTTTTGGTCTCTGTAGTAGTAGTAGTAGTAAAGTTATGTTTAGGTAGTATCAAGTACGCTCTTGCACTAGCTAGTCTGTTTTTAGTTGTGTTTAGCTGTTGATGTTTAGCTTGGAAGGAGATAGTTTTGTGATCTCCTCCATTGTTTTCATCTGTCGTGAGCTCTATTTTTTCGGCTTTAAGGATGGGAACATAACAGTTTGTGGCTTTTGTACATTGTCAGATATATGTTGTTATATTAATGGAGTGTTTGATGTTGCCTTTTTTTATCAACTATGAATGGTTTGAACCATTTTGCATAATTCTTGTGACTGGTGTTTGATGTTTATTTTATACCCACATTGCTTGCGAAGTACTTGTATTGAATATCAAAATGTGTTGCAATGTCAAATATTATTAAAGATGAAGTGAAGTCGTATGTCTAACACCAAATGGTTTGACGCAAGATTGTAGAACTCAATTCAACAAGTGGTAACAGAATTATATAATTATGGTTTAAATCGTGGGATCGCCATAATGAGGAAGGGAATTATATAATCATGGTTGAAATCATGGGATCGTCACCATGAGGAACGGATTATTCATGTACACGCCCCTCTAAAGATAAGTCTACATAATTTAATGTCAAATGCCATAAAAGAAATATTTTGCCCTAATTAATTTTAGGTAAGATGGCTTTGTATGAAGATAGGCATATTAGTTATACTCTTAATCATTACCTATAAAAGGAGGATATATATCATATGGAAATTATGTCATTTGTAAATTTGATTATAAGAAATAACATAACTCAATACTATAAGGACCGTAACTTAAAAAAAAAAAAAAGTTATAATTAAACATTACATGAGGTATAACTAAGAACTTTTGTTAGAATGTTATGTTCAGAAGTGGCTGTGATTTTTGGTTTTGTTTTTGTGGAATTTCTGTTCTAGTTAGAAGGGGCCTAGGTTAGTAGGTGCAACATCAGTAGCCTTCAGTGTGGGAGTTCTGCTGGTGGAGTATTTTGGTGTTATAATGGTGGAGTATTTTGCTTTTGTATTGCAGTAGGAATGGTGTTAGAATGTTAAAATCAATAATGACCATTTTTGTTAGTTTTTATTCCTTACTTGCATATAACATTAGAACTTATATAATAATCTTCATTAAAGATCTGGACATATATTTGGTGAAGTTCTTATTGAATTTTTCAATTTAATTAGTTCATAAATACACAAGTCTACATTATACTATATTGTTCCTAATCTTTCATTTGTGATCAGACATGGATAAAAATTGGATTGCCCTAGGTATGATGACTGATGGAAGGATGAGTAAACCATATAATGATGGGGTCAAGTTATTTCTTCAATTTGCAATGGGGGTTATAGACCAGAATGGTAATCTGTTGTACCCATGTATAAAGTGTGTGAATGTTTGTAGACAAAATCTTTAAAATGTGAAAATTCATTTGCTCCAATATGGGATTATGCAAACTTACACTATATGGCACCAGCACGGGAAACCCCGTGTTTCAAACGAGGCTTACCATGATGATGAGATGCAACTTGATGGTGATGAAATTGTAGGTGGTATTGAAGCCTCAGTGGAAGATCGAATAAGAGGGGAATCGACTGATACAACCCAAGGGGAGGAAGTGAAAACTTTTGATCAATTGTTGACTAATGCCAAGCGTGAGCTGTTCCCAAATTGTACAAATTATACTTTGTTGAAGTTTGTGATTGAGATGCTTAATATGAAGGTAACAAACCATTGGAGCAATAAGTCGGTTGATATGATGCTAGAGTTCTTAAGTAGACTTTTACCGAAAGAAAATTTAGTTCCAAAGTCAACTTATGAAGTATAGACACCCCATTTTTGACCGCCCTTAAGACTTGGGCGCTACTGATGGTTTACTTGGTAATGAAAGTTGTGCAGTGCAAGGGTTTGATTTCTTCAGCAAAAGGAGCTCCAAATCCCAACTTCATACCCCTTTTGGACTAAAATGATCTTGATCAAAAGATTTTAGACCTTGAAACCCTCTCTTTCAAAATATTTTTGAAATAAAGTTTCTACGATGCTCTGAGGCTCGCATTTTGTTAAATGATGCGCTTTTCGGTAAACCGAGCAAGGACAAAGTGGAGATGAATGGAAGAGAGATGAAATCTTTGAAAAATCTTTCAAAACACCTTGTTTAGGGGTTTGGAGTTGAAGAAAAGAAGAGGAGAGGGAAGAAACCCAGTTGGGGAAGGAGTTGGGCATGAATCGTTAAGAGAGAGTCGGGCAGCCCTCAGTAAATCAGGCCTATCCTTTTGTAAATTTGGATTTCAGCTATGAGGCCACCACCATTGGAAATAAGACTTCCGGGGCTTCATTTTTCACTCAAGAATCTCCTAAAGTTGAGGCCAGATGAGAGAGATATGGCTGGGTTAAGTTAGGCATCAATCCGGTTTGACCGAAACTGAGCAATCTTCACTAAAAGAGGGATATCTCTTTGCACAGTTGGAATTTTGATTCAAGGCTGCCACCATTGGAAATCTTACTTCTGGGGCTTCAATTTGAACACAAGAATGACCTAAAAAGGCATCCAGATGAAGGAGTTGGGCTTACTTCAAGTTGGGGACCAGGACTGATTTTTGCTGTCGGCCACTGGGGGAGTGTGTTAGCCACCAATGGCCTTTGTCGGCCACATGTCGTCCAAAAATGGTTCTTGTCGGCCACTTGTGCCCAGAAAGCCCAGATTTTACAGATATTTTTCTCTAGCTGTTCCAGACTGTCCCAGATATTTCTGAATTGAGATATTTCCGACCCAAAGCTCTTGAATTGAAATATATGGAAGCTTTCTCTCATTTTGGAAAGGGTAGGAAGTTTGGGAGCCTCTCTCTCTAAAAAAGTCCCCTCTCTCTAGAATTCTCTCTCTCTTGCCCCTTTGTGCATACAAGTAGAGGTGTGCATAGAAGTAGAGATACACAACTAGTTTGCCAAGGCATCCTTAACCAAACTTAACCATATTTGGGCTGAGATTACTTGGAGCCTTATTTGAGCTCTAGAAGAAGGATTGAGCTTGGTTTGTTGCCTCCTTGGTGCCTAAAGTACTTCTTGCTTCAAAGGTATAATATTTCCCTTGTTTAAGCTTGTTTTGCATACTTGCTTTACCATCTTTTTTCCATTGTTTTGGACTATTTTGGGGCTGGTTTTGGACTGTCAAAAACTCTATTTTTAAGATGTAAAAATGGTAGTTTAAGGCTTGGTGAGTTTGGGGGTTGTTCTCCCTTTTTGTTCCTTGGCTTGTGAGGCATTTTGTGCAACTTCTCACCACCTTCAAATCCAACTTTTTCGGCCTTTCTACCACTGAAAATCAGAGGTATTTCAGTGGTGGAAACCATGTTTTGAGGTCCAAAATAAGAGGGGTTGGCCTCCCCTCCTTGTTTCTTGTTTGCATGTGTTGATGGCCTAACAAATGAGCATGTTTTTCTATCCTTTTGAAGCTTGGTTTAAGCATGTTTTTGCCACTGATTTTCTATGATATAACTCTGTTTTTGGCTAGTTTGGTTACCTCTTGCATGCTTAATACACTTGCAGTGTAATCCTACTTGCTAGCCTAACATGCTTCATGTCTTAGCCTTTAATTCTAGCATGTATGGGCTCCACTCCAGCATGTTTTTGGCCATTATTTAACATCCTTTAACTCTGATTTTTGTTGGTGGAGTCACCTCTTGCTTGGTTTTTGCACTTGTAGTGCAATCTTGCCCATTAGCCTAGTGTACTTGGTGTTTTGGCCTTTCATTCTAGCTTGTCTTGGCTATACTCCATGCATGTTTTTTGGCATTATTTTGACATGCTTTAGGACTATTTTGAGTATTCTTGGCCTTTTGGGGCTTGCTTTGTATAGCTATAGTGTAAATGGCTTCACTAGTCTTGAGTTTTGAGGCCCTTAGCATGCTATATTTGTGATGTGTGCATGATATGGCATCATTTGGTAGGTAATTTCAGAGCTTATGTCATTGCCACACTCCCACATTTTCCATTCCTTCAATGTGTTTGAGAGTTGTGTCTTCATGCCTTGTTTGCGAGCCATCAAATGTGCATATTTTCCTTGTGTTATATGCCTTGATCTTAGTATATTTCAGCCACTATTTTGGCGTATTTAACCTCTGTCCAAGGTTGGTTTGGTCATTTAGGCTTAGTATTGTATGCCTATAGTGCCATGCTCTTTTTTGCTAGTTTCAATGCCTTTGACTTCAAGCATGTTTTGCACGCTTCATTTTCATGATTTAACGTTGTTTAGCATGCTATTTCAGTGCTGAAATATGTGTCATTGCATGCCATCTTTCATTTGTTGTGTCACTTTGAAAGAGGTCTTAAGCCCTTTGTTGGTTTGAGCACGAAATTAAGGCGTTCATGCCTAATGGTTTTAGCCTTCTCTTGAGGGTTTCTACTAATCAACGGCATGATGCTTCTTTCATGCTCAAGAAGCTTGTGGCTTGGTCCGTCTTTCCAATTAGAGGACTTCTCACTTTTGGACTTAACCTGTTAAAGGACTTGTCGATAATCTAAAATGAGTAAACAAAATGAATCAAAGTAAAACATGTCAAGATAACACGTTTGAATTGCATTGCATGTGTTTGGATCGGACGTTAATCCAAACACAAGAAACAAG